TTCTCCTGCCTTGCAAGTTAGGATTTCGGGTTTCATGGGCCCGCAGCCGAGCCCAACGCCTCGTGCTCGATGTCCCTGCTTCTGTCGTGGGCCCACCTGCGCACCGGCTACCCAAGCCAAAGTGATAATCTTTTGGCCCTCCCCAGCATCATCATCATTATCAGACCCGTTATCATCAACCACCCCCTCACCAAGAGCCCAGGCAACAGTACCCCCGGACGAAGAAATGAGGCGGCTGGACTCTTCCGGCTGGGAAATGCCGACAATGCTCCGGATGTAGATGTGGACCGTTCATTCCCGGAGTAGTATCTCTAAGGTAACGCAGTGTATTGCAGGGGCCTAGAGCATTGGAGGTGGCTCTTGGGGTATATACCTGTGTGTCTGTGGCATGCATGGCTACACGAGAACTCTGTTGAACTATCGGCCGAGACCATCCCCCGCAGCAGCGGCACAATATTAGTCTTGCTTCTAGGGCGGTGCTTCCGAGTCCATGTCCCAAATAGCAATGACAATAACAGGAAGTAGGTTAATCAGTATGAGAGATAATCATAATCGCCACAACAGTAAGAAAAGTCAGTGGAATAATAAGTGAAAACCCCAGACTAACAACAATAATATTCCTAATAATATTAAATCATGCGGTTAAAATCACAGCAAAAAATGAGAATAACAAACATACCAACAACAATGATAATAACACGTAGAGTAAAAAAATACGAAGAACGATAGTAACGTAGGGGCCTTTATAATTAAGAGTAGGGTTTTGGGGTACATTATACTCTACTGATAATAAGGAGCCTGCCCCTTCTTCCAAAAAAAATGGCCTTGGTAATTATTGAGGCCCCTATTAAAAACAAAACCCAAACTAAAAAACATTGGTAATTATTGAGGCCCCTATTTAAAAAAAAAAAAAAACAAAACCTCAACTTGCCGAACTTCCGAGCTTGCTCTCCTCAGGCCGCCACTCGATAAGCTCCCAGCTTGTACCGGCGGTCGCGGCCTCCCGGGGTCCCTCGTATTCTTAGGGTCTATATAGGTTTTTTTTTAACGTGTATTGGCAACTTCACAGAAGCACCAGTCCAAGAGGACCTACACAGGTGAAACGAGAAGTCGGCGAAGCGGGTTCAGGGGATTACAGTATCTGATTTGTATTTTTTCAATATGCTGAAGTAAGATGCTGTATGTTTTGGTATATTGCACTATGCTGCTGTATAGTATATTATCGTATGCAAGGATGTCAGCAGAGCCACCGTTATAATCGCCGCAATCGCAAGAAGAAGACGATGCATTCGCGAAATGCAATGCAGAACCATGTGCGTCAATGAGGGCGAACACCAGTAGTTGGCACAAAGTGGTTACATAGGTGCAAGTAGAAGTTACTGCAGAACAAGAGTGTTGTTAGTGGTAGTGGTAGTGGTAGTGGTAGTGGTCGTGGTCGTGGTAGTGGTAGTGGTAGTGGTAGTGGTAGTGGGAGCCGTAGTCGTAGTCGTAGTCGTAGTAGTAGTCGTCGTCGTCGTCGTAGTGATAGTAGTAGTAGTAGTAGTCGTCGTCGTGGTCGTAGTCGTAGTCGTAGTCGTAGTCGTAGCCGTAGGAGCAGTAGCAAGAGCAGCAGCAGCAGTTGAAGCTGCTGGTATTGATTTTGCTGTGGTTGCGGTTGCCGTTGTCGTTGTCGTTGTGGAGCTCGTTGTCGTCCTGCTCGTCATCGTCGGCATCGTTCCTCTTGCAGCTGCTGCTGCTGCTGCTGCCTCTGCTGCCGGTGCTGGTGCGCTGGTGCCGTGCGGGTGCTGATGCTACTGCTCTGCAGCTGCAGTTGTAATTCTTTACTATCCCGAATATGTGGTATTTTTGAGATGTACGACGAGTAGGGACATCCAAAGTCCTCGACGTGCCAAATCTCTGTACATCTGCCTCGGTCAGCGCTGAACGCAGCGCTAGCATGTCTCGACGTCCCACGGCCGAGCGTAAGGCCTTCGAAAGCTTCACTTGGTCTTCAAACGGATTGTTGTTTACTTCCTGCATTGCAAGGTTTGGCCTGTGCTGCTAAGCTGGGATCGCAGGAAACAATTTGTCAATCGGCTGTGAAGATTTTGGGCTCAGGAACTTCGGGGGTAAAGCCATAACAATGACCACAGAGCATCCGTGCCTTCTTCAACACTCTAAGCCCTGAGCTCGAGCACGTAGGAAGCACATCAGAGGGAGCACTAGCTGAAACACACGCACACACACACACACACACACACCCACACCCACACCCACACCCACACCCACACCCACACCCACACCCACACCCACACCCACACCCACACCCACATGCCCACGCGCCCACGCACACGCACACGCATGTATGTGTGTGTGTAAATATATGTATATATATATATATATAGATGTATGGTGCAGCGTCGCCCGACCACCCTCCTCCCCACCCCATGGTATCCCCCCCTGCCCCCCCTGCGGTGGTGTGGTGTGGTGTGGTGTGGTGGTGGGTTTTGGGTTATTTAACCCCGCCCTCTCCCCTATTGTAGTGTGGTGTGGTGTGGTGGTGGTGTTGTGGGTTTCAGGTTTAGTGTTTAACCCCCTTCCCCCCTCCTGTGGTGTGGTGGTGGGTGTTGGGTCTAGGGTTTACGGATTGCACTCGCACCCCCCCTGTGGTGTGTGTGGTGGGGTTGTGTGGGGTTGTTTAGGGTTTAGGAGATTATGAAAAAGTTTAGGGTTGAGGGTCGGCGGCTGGGCGCGGCACAGACCGAAACCATGGCCCATCCAGGTGAGTGTCGCCACTTTGGACACGCCACGAAGTTGCATAGCTTCAAAAGTCACAACACTCACGAGGATCCCGGGGCTCGGGGGGCCCATCCCCGTGACTGTTGGCACTTTTGAGACAAAAGTGACGACCCTCACAAGGATTTTGGGTGCTTCGCCGCGGCCCCCCTGTGGGCTGTGGGTGGCCTCATGCTGTCCCACGCCCCGGCAAGGTTTAAAGTTTGCGCACGCACCGCCCTGTGGTGTGGCACTGGGTGGTCGGGTTGGTTCGGGTTTTGGTGCGTAGGTTTGAAGTGTTTAGAGTTGAGGATCCGCAGCTGGGCGCGGCGCAGACCGAAACCACTTTGGACACGACGAAGTTGCATAGCTTCAGAAGTCACAACACTCACGAGGATCACGGGTTCGGAAGGCCCATCCCTGTGACTGTTGGCACTTTTGAGACAAAAGTGAGACCCTCACGAGGATTTCGGGTGTTCACTACCAAGGCGGGGGGGATACCATAGGGGGGGGGGGACCGACACGCGACACGGGACCATATA